ATCCCAGCTACTCAGGAGGCTGAGGCAGGAGGATTGCTTGAGCCTGGGAGACGGAGGTTGCAGTGAGCCGAGATCATGCCTGGGTGACAGAGTGAGACTTCATCTAAAAGAAAAGAAAAGAAAAGTTTTGATGAAATCTCTGGATGTCATATGGGTGAGATGAATGCCTGGGAGAACCGCCTTCCTGTAGGGTTGATGTCTGGGTCCTCTTCCTGTCAAGGGCACATTCGAGGGACAGCACTTTCCTTAATATGGGCCTGCCCTCTGGATAGCTTCTGCTGGCAGCTATGCTCTGCCTGACACCAGCAGAAACTTTGGGCAGTCCCTGGGCTTGCATGCAGTTTAGATTTCTGGGAATGTTCTTGCTAAAGGGCTCTCTGATGGGCTGCCTGTCATGTAATGACCAGTCACATGGGGAATCTAGGTTCTAGCAGACATGTCTTCTAATGGGACCTGAAGCCACGGTTGCTTTGCTTAGCGGACATGTGAGTTCTGCAGTTTCCAGGTCAGACCTGGATGTTCATAAACACACCAGAGATCTGTCCTCCTTTGGCCTTCTGTAAAATCTCGTTTTAGAAAAACGTTTACAATTGTTGAAGTTGTTTAAATTGAGCGAAGCCAAATGATTTCTTCTGTTCTGATAAGATAGCCTGCTACTGTAATTTGACTTGCTGCTTCTCTTTTATTTTACAGATGATGTCTTTCTACCTAAAGATATTGACCTAGACAGTGTGGATATGGATGAGACAGAGAGGGAAGTGGAGTATTTCAAAAGGTAAATGTGGAGGCTGTGTGTCTGAAACCGTGGTGATTGTGTGCTTGCCATACATGTTTGGTTTTCTGTCTTTCCACGGCACTTCCAGTTGTCTTAGACGAAGTTACATCAAGCAAGCCATGCAACCTGGCTACTGAAGAGCCCTGTAGCAGGACAGGCCAGCCACACACACCCCTCCCCCACTCCCAGCACTCACAGTCTCACTTCTCCTCCCCCTCACATGCTAGAAAAATGATAGCAGTGGCTTCCCCCCACCCCTCCCCACCGAGGCGGTGACTCAAGGTGTCCTGGGCCAGCAGCGTCTCCGGGGGGATACAGGCCACTCCCTAGACCTGCCGGATCAGATTCTGGGAAGGGGCCGGCATCTGTGTTATTGAAAGCCTTCCGGATGACCCTCACATATGCTGATGGTTGAACACACTGGAGCAGTATGCTTTTAAGAAGAAAAGTAGCATTTTAGATACTTGCTGTTTTCCTGATGGGCAAATTTTATCAGTGCTATGTTCTATAATGTTTTATCTACTGTGTGAATTAATGGTAACAAAATTTTGTTTTATTTTATTTTATTTTTGAGAGGGAATCTCGCTCTGTCACCCAGGTTGGAGTGCAGTGGCACCATCTCAGCTCACTGCAACCTCTGCCTCCCGGGTTCAAGCAATTCTCCTGCCTCAGCCTCCCGAGTAGCTGGGACTACAGGCGCCCGCCACCACCCCTGGCTAATTTTTTGTATTTTTATTAGAGACGGGGTTTCACCGTGGTCTCAATCTCCTTACCTCGTGATCTGCCCTCCTCGGCCTCCCAAAGTGCTGGGATTACAGGCGTGAGCCACCGCACCCAGCCCCATTTTTCATTTGTGTTGTTTCTGCTCTGTCAGAACACACGATATTCTTAAGTACACAGTTTACTACAACAGGGCTCCCGCTTGCTTCTGCTGAGTGTTCCCAGGAGTCTTCAGGTTGGTGAAGCTCATCCTCAGGCAGTGGCCTTGAGTAGGGCCACAGAATTCCCTGAGCTCTGGAGAAGTAAGCTTTGGCCTGTTGTATTGTCAATGAACAGATAGTTTGGTTGGATATAAAATCCTTGGATCAACTGATTTCTCCTGTTTAATGTAGTGTGGTGGTTGTAAAAAATTTCTTCCTGATACCAAATTGGTTAAAGTTGTGTTTCATATTTTTTTTACACCAAGATTTTATAGACTGATTATTCTAGCTCTAGTCAGGAAAAGAGAATATTATTAGAAATCTCTTTATTATGACAGCACTTCCAGCAGGCATGCCAGCTCTGTTTCCTTCTCAAGTTGGAGCTGTTTTCTTCTAGAACTTCTTGTGCGTGGCTGCTGACATCATGCTTTCTTAGATCTTCACTTTTTGTACATCTGGAAATGCTCCGGCCTCCTCTCACCCTTGCTTGTGCATCAGTTTCCTGGGTCAGTGGACAGTGTTCTGTGCTTGCTTTCTGCTGCTTGAGTTTTTAAAAATGGAGACTCAGAATGCTTTCCCATACCCTGAAGCACCTCTCTGTACAAACATGTGGAGCCTGCTGTGGCTGGGGGCTGTCCTCACTCTCCAGTCACATCCGCTATTCTGTGCCAGGATTGAGCCATTGACTGCGTTTCCTTTAACCTAATCTTTCCCTTCCTCCTAAATGTAGATTACTGAAGGTTGACTTTCCCAGGCGGTTCCCTGAGCACACCCAGCCTTCATTCCTAAACCACCCAGTCCCCAGTGGCACCAGTGACTGTGGCCTCCGCCCTGCTGTGTGCCCTCAGGGATACAGTTGGGATCCAAGTAGCCAAGGCTGTCATAGAGCAGGTCCTTAGAGGAGACTCGTAAGTGACATTTCTGTGAACACACACATTTGAAAGCACTTGCCTGGTGCTGTGTGAGTCGTCAAAAATATTAGCTATTGGCCAGGCACGGTGGCTCAAGCCTGTAATCCCAGCACTTTGGGAGGCCGAGACGGGCGGATCACGAGGTCAGGAGATCGAGACCATCCTGGCTAACACGGTGAAACCCTGTCTCTATTAAAAATACAAAAAAACTAGCCGGGCGAGGTGGCGGGCGCCTGTAGTCCCAGCTACTCGGGAGGCTGAGCCAGGAGAATGGCGGAGGCGGAGCTTGCAGTGAGCTGAGATCCGGCCACTGCACTCCAGCCTGGGCGACAGAGCGAGACTCTGTCTCAAACAAACAAACAAACAAAAATTAGCTATTATGCAAGTAAAACATGCCTCACGCTACCATGGCAATTCCCCAGTGGTAGAAAGAAATGGGAGTGTTTATTAAAGGTTCTGAAAAATTGTCCCGTGTTGAGGACTGCGGGGAAATGGAGACTCACCTTTAACAAAGAAATGTCAGTGGTTCCTGTCCTCTTTGTTCACATTGATGGGGCTGGATGCTAGGTGCACTGCACCCCCCACCCCATCCCAGCCCAGATACGTGCTGCTGGAGTCACTTTGATACTCAAGGCTCAGATAAGGCCCCGGGAAGGTGCTCAAGATTGAATTAGATGAGTGACCCGAACAGAACAGAGGAGTAGAAATTCTCAAACTTGGCTGAGAGTCTAGGAAACTGAGTAATCCTTAATGATTTCCCTGCTATCCTGCCTGTTTTCAAAGATGGTTGTGTAATTGCAGCATGAAATGTAGCCTTGGTTTTTGTTTGGAACAACTTGAAAGTGTTTGGCCAGGCACAGTGGCTCGCACGTGTAATTCTAGCACTTTGAGAGGCCGAGGTGGGTGGATCATTTGAACCCAGGAATTCAAGACCAGCCTGGGTAACATGGTGAAACCCTGTCTCTACCAAAAATATAAAAATTACACAGGCCTGGTGGTGTGCACCTGTGATCCCAGCTACTCAGGAGGCTGAGGCAGGAGGATTGCTTGAGCCTGGGAGACGGAGGTTGCAGTGAGCCGAGATCATGCCTGGGTGACAGAGTGAGACTTCATCTAAAAGAAAAGAAAAGAAAAGTTTTGATGAAATCTCTGGATGTCATATGGGTGAGATGAATGCCTGGGAGAACCGCCTTCCTGTAGGGTTGATGTCTGGGTCCTCTTCCTGTCAAGGGCACATTCGAGGGACAGCACTTTCCTTAATATGGGCCTGCCCTCTGGATAGCTTCTGCTGGCAGCTATGCTCTGCCTGACACCAGCAGAAACTTTGGGCAGTCCCTGGGCTTGCATGCAGTTTAGATTTCTGGGAATGTTCTTGCTAAAGGGCTCTCTGATGGGCTGCCTGTCATGTAATGACCAGTCACATGGGGAATCTAGGTTCTAGCAGACATGTCTTCTAATGGGACCTGAAGCCACGGTTGCTTTGCTTAGCGGACATGTGAGTTCTGCAGTTTCCAGGTCAGACCTGGATGTTCATAAACACACCAGAGATCTGTCCTCCTTTGGCCTTCTGTAAAATCTCGTTTTAGAAAAACGTTTACAATTGTTGAAGTTGTTTAAATTGAGCGAAGCCAAATGATTTCTTCTGTTCTGATAAGATAGCCTGCTACTGTAATTTGACTTGCTGCTTCTCTTTTATTTTACAGATGATGTCTTTCTACCTAAAGATATTGACCTAGACAGTGTGGATATGGATGAGACAGAGAGGGAAGTGGAGTATTTCAAAAGGTAAATGTGGAGGCTGTGTGTCTGAAACCGTGGTGATTGTGTGCTTGCCATACATGTTTGGTTTTCTGTCTTTCCACGGCACTTCCAGTTGTCTTAGACGAAGTTACATCAAGCAAGCCATGCAACCTGGCTACTGAAGAGCCCTGTAGCAGGACAGGCCAGCCACACACACCCCTCCCCCACTCCCAGCACTCACAGTCTCACTTCTCCTCCCCCTCACATGCTAGAAAAATGATAGCAGTGGCTTCCCCCCACCCCTCCCCACCGAGGCGGTGACTCAAGGTGTCCTGGGCCAGCAGCGTCTCCGGGGGGATACAGGCCACTCCCTAGACCTGCCGGATCAGATTCTGGGAAGGGGCCGGCATCTGTGTTATTGAAAGCCTTCCGGATGACCCTCACATATGCTGATGGTTGAACACACTGGAGCAGTATGCTTTTAAGAAGAAAAGTAGCATTTTAGATACTTGCTGTTTTCCTGATGGGCAAATTTTATCAGTGCTATGTTCTATAATGTTTTATCTACTGTGTGAATTAATGGTAACAAAATTTTGTTTTATTTTATTTTATTTTTGAGAGGGAATCTCGCTCTGTCACCCAGGTTGGAGTGCAGTGGCACCATCTCAGCTCACTGCAACCTCTGCCTCCCGGGTTCAAGCAATTCTCCTGCCTCAGCCTCC